GGGAATTTAGGAAACCCTGACTCGTTTGCCTAAGGCCATGTGTCCGTCATCACCAAAGTTGCCTCGGCTCGGGAACTTGGGTACGATTTGGGAAATACACCCAAAGCTAACAAGCTAGAATGCAAAGAGACCATGTTGAGCATGACCAAAGCAACTGAAAACAAAGCTAAAGCATACTAAAACATGCATAAAAGCTTCACAAAGCTTGGCCAAAATCACGTTAGAACAAGGGTCAAAGCCTAAAGTATGTTAAGGCAAATTCATGGCATTACAAGACAAGTATGCAAGGCAAGCATGGTGTGTCTAAACCAAGTAAAAACAGAGGTAAAGCATGGAAAAATACTACCAAATACCTACTGAAACATGGCCAACATCAGTTCAAAAATGGTGCTCACGCATAGTTGGTCTAACTCAAATAATCCAACCTTCACCCACAGGCATTCAGGCAGTAATATCACATAAGCACATAGCCACATGGTAAGCATGCTGTCATGTTAACATTCACACTCATGCGAGATGCTAAAGCATAAAACACTTACAGTGTACTCCAAGCCAAAACAATGAACATGTTAGCAATCAAATATATGATCTAAGTCCATGTTAAATGGCTAATGCATCGCATACAAAATGCAATCTAGAATACGCTCGACTAATCTAAGAGTGGCATGTGGAATGCAACAAGTAACACGTATTCAAGTTGGATTTGAAATACTATGCAGTTAGTATGATGCGCCGAGCTCGGTGCATGCAATACAAATGAATGGATACATGCATGCATAGCATAAGGATGCTAAATTAAATATGTCCTAATACTAACCATCAAAAGCAGGTAAGTAAAAGGGAGAAAGAAGTGGGGGTTGGAAGACATGCACACCCACACCCACACTTATTACACATTCGCCCTCGCTCGGAGGGACCAAAAGAATAATACAAATTAATGAACCTACAAGCTAATAAATTATTACAGACCACTTAACTAGTTAAGCAAATTAACTAAGCTAAGAAAGCAATAAAATAGCCTCGGGAAGAGGGTCCAATGCATGCGTGCTCGGGTTTGCTCAGAAATCCGTCGCTATGCACAAGCTGCCTCTGTTTATCCTGCTCTGCTCTTCTGAAAATTGCAAAAGTCCCAAGGAACACTCTCTGAACACTGTGGAGCATCACCGACCAAGGGGAAACATCACCGACCATGGTAGAAGGGTCATTGACCAAATATTCAGCTCTCGGCCACCAATTAATGGCCGGCCGGCACTGAGTGTAGTCGGTCGGCCATATATGCCTGCAGAATCCTGTTTTGACAACAGCAAAAGACAAACATGGCATGGCAATGCATTTCAAGCAAATGTTTGCACAAACACCCCTTTATCATGTTTCATGACTCAAAGGAGGATGGTCCTCAACCCTCGGGCCACCAATCGCGTATTTCAATGCGTGATGGCCAAAGAGGCCAAGTTATGCATTTTGATTGTCAAATGAAATGCAAACCAAATAAACCATAAGGCCCAACCTCTATCACTTGATCAAGAGACAAGGCATGCATGCTCAATGCAATGTAATGCAACCTAGACATGTGAGCTAAGTATGCAATTCATGAGCATGAAAGCAAGTAATGTGTACTAAGCACACAACCTAAACAAACAATCATGCACGGCATGTAACAACATGTGCAAGCTAACAAGCATGCAATATGCAAGACACGTAACATGTTAAGCAACCAAGACAAAAGGAAGAAAACATGCTAAATGCAATGTGATTCAAGCATGCAACACGTGCGATAGGCTAAGTATGCAACAACACACAAGGCGAGCATGCAACAACATGCAAAGGAGGGACTTACACCAAGATGGACAGCTCTCTACTAGGTCCAAAACAGTGGCCGAATGCTAAGGAAATGAAGGCCAAAACACATACAAACATGCATGCACATATGACCCAACTCTTAAGCATAAAGAAGCAACTTTTAAGCACACTTAAAAGAGGATAAACATGGACTAATGGCAAGCATAGCAAGCTCTGAAAATACATGAGGAATGATGCCAAATCAACCTATCAATGCAAGCAAGGCATGCAGTTATATCCAAAACTCAAGGTAAGCCAAGGGGCTTAAACCATAACTATATGAAACAAGTCCCAAAGGGCCATGGGGACTCAAAACCACCCCAAGGCAGATCAAAACAAGGTCAAAGGCACACCTAGATGACATCTAAATGGCCTAAGTCTAAAGGCATGCAAAAGGGTTCAAACATGGAGCATAAGGTACCAACCTCTTGAAGCATTAAAGGAGCATCAAATGCAAGCATACAAGCATACCACAAGGACTGAAATGATGTTATAAGTGGTGCCAAACCACTGAAACAAGCCAAGTAATGCATGCTCAACACTCACACACCCAAGGCTAACAAGCCAAAATGCAAGGTGGCTATGCAAAGCATGTCATGGATGGCCAAAACAACTTCAAAAAGACCTTAAGCATACTAAGACATGCATAAAAGCTTCACAAAGCTAGGCCAAAAACATGCTAGAAATAAGGCTCAAAGCACAAAGCATGTTAAGGCAATTCATGGCATTACAAGACAAGTATGCAAAGCAAGCATGGTGTGTCTAAACCAACTTAAAACAGTGCTATATCATGGCAAAATAAGCACAAATACTAGCTAAGACATGGCCAACATGAACTCAACAATGGTGCTCACATATGAGGCTAAAATGACAACATTAAAGGCAATAAGGAGAGGGGATGACCCTCTCCTTCTTAGGACCTTAAAGTACCATCCCCACCACTGAAATCCAAAAATTCTGGATTTCAGTGGTGAGGAGGCCAAGACAAGGTGGTCTCGGAGCTCACCAAAATAGCACAAAATGAGGGCCAAACAAGGCCTAAGAGGGGTCAAACAACCCCAAACACCGAAACAACCTTAAACAACTATTTTAAGCACTTAAAATGATAACTTTTATATATTATAAGTTAAGCTTAAAAACAGATACAAGGATAGTTAAAAGCCTATGCAAAAATGGAGAATAAAGGGGTAAAGTTCTTACCCTTGAAGACCTTCGTCACAAGGACCACTCCAGTCCCTTCTCCAAGCTTAGATCAACTCAAGAACTCTGAAAATCACTCCTTAGTACCTCAGTAGCTAAAGGAAAGTGTAACTCTAGGTGTTTGTGTGCAAAACTATGAACAAAACACCTTAATACACACACAAAGAGCAAAAGAGAGGGAGATATAGAGATAGATAGATACACAAGACCTAACCCTAATTCAGACCTCTGGAACTCTTTTTTTGGAACCCTTGAGGAGGGAGGAGGAGACCTCTCTTTATAGAGGATCACTCTTGCAAAGCTTACAAAACAAGCTAAGCAAGAGTGAAATCCCTCCATACACGTGTATGAAGGGGGTGTAAAGTGGGCGCCAGCTAGCTGGCACAAAATATCTGCCAAAAGCAGATGCACAGTGGTCTGCCAGCCAAAAATAACAAATTGACCAAATAAATGATCGACTGACCAAACAGAGTGCCGACCGACCAAACATTTGGCCGATGGTAACAAAACAATGGCCGGTAGCCTCAAGCCATGGCCGGTGAGATGTGGGGATGGCCAATAAGCCATTCCCTACTCCTTAAAAGCAAAACACAAGTGTTTGGTGTAAAACCAAACACAAAACAGGCAAGTCGAGAGGTCTTGAGGCAAGGCGCGTGGCCGAGACCTCCGAGAACTCAAGACGAACACGAACATGGATGATCACTGAGTATTCAAACGGTGACGTCCAAGTCTTGAGGACGGTAAAAAATAGGGTGTCTACACCCCCAAATGAAGGATACCTCCTTTTCCAATTTGCAAGCATGAGTCTAAATTTCATTAAACCTAGAGTCTAGGTTGATCTTCTTCTAGGACTTAATCCAAGAGGCAAACCAAGAAGCCCCAACGACAAAGAAATCCATGCTATAATGGAAGTTTATGAGTCACACTATTTAGTAAATCAACAAATTGTAGATGAGTTACACACACTTGGTCCCTTCCAATCACAACTCTCTGAGTAGACCCATTTGAGTCCAAATCCTCTAGAGTGATCTTAAAGTGATTTTTTTATATGGTTGAGATTTAAGTCTATAATAGTTGAGAGTACAATAGTACTAAGTTGATGGTTCAATAGTATTATGACATTAAAAAAAATCTTAACCATATAAAAAATCACTCTAAGATCTTTCTACAGAAAATCACTTTAAAAGATCCGAACTTGACCCGTTTCTCTAGCCCTCATAACAATTATGTTCAACTCTTCAGCCACCAACTTGAACAGAAAAGGAGATAACGGATGATGCCAGAACTCTAGTCAGATACCAATAAATATACTCTCCATTAGTAATTAATTACATTCAATAAAGAATATATTGGCAAAGCACACATCAATATCAAAGGTAGGCATGGGTCAATCAGCAATTAGTCTAATTGTCAAAATGCTAATACTGATAACATGTTATACATTAAAAAAACAAATTAAAACGCATGAACAACTTAGTAGTGGCATAGTGGAAGCCAGAAAACACAGAAAATGCTTTAGCACTGCAAGCACTAACACTCTTGAGTGTGTGTTGATTCATGAACTCTCATGTTCTGCTTATATTTTATGTAATCTGATAACTTTTAAGCCACTAATAATCTCTTATCTAGTACATTGGTTATATTTATATAAAAAAAAAAAAAAAAATCACTTGTAGTTAACTTTAGGCAATAAAACCATGGACACACAACCAATCAGTGAACAAATATAAAATGGTTTGAACTCCTTTTATGCTCTCTATTCAGTGATTGATTCTGTCTGCCTAGCATTATGGTTTTTAAATAAATGTGCTGCATGTAGCTGCCGAAAGCAACAACACGAAAGTTAATTAAATAAATTATGAATGTGAAATGCATTTTATAAGTAAAAGAATAATTTTTTTAAATTTTTTTTGTTAATTAGCCGCCCACAACAATATTTTTCTATAAATTAGCACATCTTCATTAAGCATCTTGCCCATAACCAATTTCAAGAAAACTCCTACTTAGTTAGTTGGTTGTTTCTTGTAGTGTAAGTAAGGTGTTGTAGAGATAACCAAAACTTGAAGATGCCAAGCAGCTTTTTGAAATTGAATGGTTATTGTTTGGTAATAGGTTTGTTGATGTCATCATGGACATGCATGGTTGTGAAGTCTCAACTAAGTGCTGATTTCTATTCAGCAACATGTCCTAACCTTCTCGCAGTGGTGCGTAAACAGGTTCAAAATGCTGTCAAAACTGAAATGCGAATGGCAGCATCATTGCTTCGGCTTCATTTCCACGATTGCTTTGTAAATGTGAGTTGTATTATACATCACAACATTGCCAATAATTTATTTATTTATTTTATATATAACAACAGTTTCTACTCTACTCACGTATTTAAATTATGAGAAATGCTGCATTAATTGATCATATGTTTATATTATATTTATCTGAGAACTGTTATTTATATATATATATATATATATATTTTACCATTTTATATTACCATTGTACATGGTAGTATATAACAAAAAATTTGGCAGTAGATTGTTTTATTTATTTACTATATGTGGTGTCACACCAAACTATTGAACCCATTATACTAAGAGAAATGTTAGAGATCATGAAAATTTTGTCATGAAAAGGATCATGAAAAATTTGTGACCCTTAGATTATCTTGATTAGTGTGTGGTGCTTTATTGTAAGTGTTATCCAAAGGTCACAAATCTTTCATGACCATTTTCATAAAAAACTTTTCATGATACCTACCATTGCTGTTATACTAATATTTGTATATGTATTACCTCTCATATGATAAATAAAATTAATATAATACAAAAATGTTATAATTCTAGCATTAATTGTTAAATAATTCATGACAAACTTTACTTTTAGAAACTAAAAAGATACAAACTTTTTTGGTTCATCCACCCCTACTGTATTAACCAATTATTGAATGTATAACTAATAAAAAAATGACACTTATCATACAATATCATTATAAATTAAATTATGAAAGCTTTTTTAAAATGATCATTGTTAAAAAGAAGCTGATATTTGTTACAAGAAGCTTCATGGTTGAAGTTGAAGATTTTCTTCTATTAACAGTAAGGTTGAGTTACTGCCAAATTCAAATTTAAATTATGCGAACTTGAGGAGGATATGAGACCCACCACGAGTCTTATTTTAATAATTTAAATAGTTTATGAAAAAAATTATGGTGTTTGCCTTGTCTCAATGTATATTATTCATAAAAAAAATTATGTTGATCCGATAATCATAACGTTTTTAAGTTATGTGTTTGTCTATGAAAAATAGACGTCAAGTATGTTTTTAAAAATACACCTTCTATTTTTATTTATTTATAAAAAGACGATAAAATGAAAATATTACAACTATTGGATCGACTTAATTTTCTTACTAATGATATATACGGAGAGTCTAACAAAATGAATATTTTATATTATCGAAATAAAACTCGTTGTGGGTCCTACGACCCCCTCAATGAGCCCAACCAAGTAAAATAAAATTTGTGTGATGTAATTAATGCAAAATAATGTAATTTCATGTAATATTTATTTCCAAATCAAAACATCAATCAATGCAGTTTAAATTTTAAAAATATCAAAATCATATTATTTTTAATCATTTTTTTTAGGTTTAAAAATTGTATTTATGAATTGTTTTCTAGCTATTGAACCCATTAAGGAGCAAACCTTTTTTCTTGTACTGAGGGTTGTTTTGGGAATTAGTTATTTTAATTAATTTTTTAATTTTTTTACAAAAAGACGCTTAGCAAAGTAAAGAGAATAATTGATAGTTTGATAGTGATTTTTAAAATTTTTAACTATTTTAAGTTGTTTCCAAACTTGTCCTGAGTTAAATTTATACTTTTTAACTATTTCTTGTTGGTTTCTCGCCATTCTTTTGTGGTTGAGCTCGGAGATGATTGAGCTTTCTTCTCGGTGCCAACTTAGTTGGGATTAGGTTTGTTAGCTTTGATGCGCTTCTGCTCTTCCACCCCTTTATTGATGTTCATGTCGTATGTTCTGTATGTTTTCTTCATCAATAAAGTTCTTTTTTGTTGATAAAAAAAAAAAGAAAAAATTGTTCTTTTTAAATTTATTTTTGTGTAATGTTGTGGTTGTTGTTGTTAGGGTTGTGATGCATCTCTTTTGTTGGATGGAAGCGATAGTGAGAAATTTGCATTACCAAACCTGAACTCAGCCAGAGGATTCGAAGTAGTGGATGCAATCAAAAGTGCAGTGGAGAGTGCGTGCAGTGGAATTGTATCCTGTGCGGATATACTAGCTATTGCTGCCCGAGATGCTGTTGTCTTAGTAAGTCAATACTTTCTGCCCAAAAATAATAATAATAAATTCAAAATGTTTTTAGACAAAAAATTCTCTTGTACTTAATTTCTTTGAATAAATATTTTGATATATTATTTTTGTTTATAAACTTTCTATTTATTTTTTATTTTTATTTTTATTTTTATGGGCGAAACGTGGTTGGCCTCCCATCCTTTTCCTCATACACACTTAAGTGTCAAAAAAAAAAAAAAAAAAAAAAAAAGTTCTTTTGGCAGAAAGGCTTGGGGGAAAACATTTTTATATACCTGACATATAAATTTAATCAAAAGTTGTTGTTGTTGTTAATTTTTTTCTTTTTTCTTTTTTCTTTTTTCTTTTTTCTTTTGTGTATATGTGTGTGGGGCAGCTAATACTTGACAAAAGTTAAAAACATATTATATATACTGATAATTTATATAAGTCTCTCTATTTTTGGTCTCTCTCTCTCTAAAAAACCTCCATCCCAGGCCTCTTTTTTGGGCTGGCCGGCTGCCGCCTTTGGCTATGGTGGTTGGCTGGCCTAGCTTGTTCTTCTTCCGGCATCTGCTTGTTAGTTTTTTTCCTTCAATAAACTTGATTCTCCAATTTTTTCCCATCTAGGCGTGTTAGTGTTGTTGCGGTAGTCTTTGTTTTTGGTGTTTCAGGGCCCGGTTCAACTGTTTTATCAGGGGTCGTCCATGATTTTCATTCGTGCGCTCTTTTGCGAGTAGAAGCTTGAGGGATGAACTCTGGTTCAGATTTGGTGGAGAAGTATTGATGCTTTGTTTGGGCGGAAACATGGGTGTCGTAGTTGATCCAGATCTGTCTGGTTTTCATTGGAGCGCTCCTCTTCGAGTCAGAGTTTGAGGGGTGAACTTTTTCCTAATGTTTGGAGGTGTCCCGACGGTTGGTCGGTGTGTGGATCTGCAGTGGGTGTGAGTAAGAAGAGGTGTGGGTAAGAAGAAAACCTGGTGGGAGTTGATCTGTGGGTGAGTTTTGGTGTTGCAGTAGAATCGAGTTTACTCCCGGTGTTGGCTATGGAGTCTTCTCGGCGTTCAACAGCATAGGTGTGGTTAGTAAGGTGCTGCAGCAACTTTGGTTGTGGGCTTTGGGAGTTGGGAGTTGCAGCAGCTGAGGGGTGGCGTGGGCAGCAGCATAGGCATGGGTGGTGAGGGCTTTGGGAGTTGTTGCTGCAGAGGCGTGGGTCTTGGCAGAGTGGGTTGGTGATTAGACTTTAGTTTGGGTGGTTCGGGCAGCTAGAGTGTTGGTTTAGTTAATTTAGTTTGTTTTGGTGGGTTGATTATGTGGGGTTTCTTGTATTTTTATTTTTATTTTTATTATTATTTTTTTTTTAGTTTAGTCCTTCTTAACTTTTTTCTGTTTAAAAAATCGAGAGGCTGAGGGGTTGGTTGTATGGATGCGAGTAGCAGTAGTAGGGGTATTTTTATACTTTTCGAATCTCTCTCGATGCATGTCATCTTCCTGTACTTTTAATTTCATGCTGTTAAATGAAATTTTTCTTTACTGATAAAAAAAAAAAATACTGATAATTTATTTATTTTTAAAAATTCACTTAAAAGAAAAGTCAATAAAACATGATAACAAAATAATTTGACAAAGTATTGTGGAAATAAAATTTACACAACCTGAAATATAAAAAACATGAAAGGCAAATTATACCGATAGTCTATACATTTTATCTCATATTATTTTGGTTTATATACTTTTAATTAGTTTAATTTTGACTTTTAATTTTAAATTTTGTGTCAATTTGGTTGAATTAATAACGCTGTTAGTATTTTTGATGAAAAATTATCACTAAATTAGTTGAAGTTAACTTACTGAGTTGAACAAATTTACAATTTTGCTTGAAAAACATGACATATATCACTTATGTGTATATTTTTCATTAAAAAATACTAACAATTGTAAACAATTAGATTAAATTGAGATAGAGTCAAAATAGAGCCAATTGAAATTATAAGAATCAAAATGATACAATGACCAAAATATAGGGATTACCAGCCTAATTTGTCGAAAAATAAAAGAGAAAAATGAAAAGCAAGAAATTATTATTTGCATATATTTTGCAGAGTGGAGGACAAACGTGGAAAGTCCTATTGGGGAGGAGAGACGGACTAGTTGCAAACAAAGACGGAGCTACAAATGGACTTCCTTCTCCCTTCGACTCAGTTGGTAATATCACTGCTAAGTTTGTTGCTGTAGGCCTAAACCAAACTGATGTGGTGATTCTATCAGGTAGCTTCACACTTGGTCGTTTGTTTGTTTGTTGGACATGATTTTAGTGTCCCTTCATACACACATCTAAAGCACAAGACTAAAATAGTTAATAAAGATAAGAAAATATTAAAATAATTAATAAGATAAAATGTCACATCTAAATTATAATTATTTCATTTTTTTTTTGCAAACATCAAATCAATTATATAAAAAAAAGAATTAAGAATTAAAAATTAAAAATCATTTCAAAGATAATTTTTTTAGCTAAACTAAAATAGCCAAATAATAAAAAAATCAGACTAAAAAAATTCATACCTAACGAGGACTAAGAGGATATCTGTATGGCTACGAAAATTCCATATACAATTGTGTACATAAAATATTACACTGGAGACACACACGATACATGTGCATAACACTAATAGTGAAAATATGGGATAGTTTGCATTATGGAGTATTCTGGACCTTTTTTTTTTTTTTTTTTTTCAAAATATTAGTTGAAACAATTAGAGATAGAAATGGTTCAAACAAATTTGAAAAATAATTTTATTTGAGCAATTTTGGTGGTGGAAACTATGCATGACATAGTTTCATTTTATTCACACCAATTTAGTTGTTGGGTTTATCTATACTTATGTTATAATGAGAATAACTCATTTGGTGTGAATTTTAAAGCAACTTTTTTTTTGTTAATTTTAAAAATATCATAAGATCATCATCATCATCATCATCTAAATACTCATATCTACACTAATGCAAGGGGTAAATAGGGAAATTCAAAGTTAACCTTGGTAACATGTTTTAGATTTAAGCCTTTGCATCATATGTAACTCTGTTTGTAGCCAAATAAAGTTTTAAATATGATAGATTGCACGAATTGCTGTTATAATATAGGAGGAGGATCTCCTCTAGTCTAAATTTGGATTGGAAGGCGCTATTTAGGCCCGTAAGGCCTATCACGGGTCTCATTTTTTTTTTTTTTTTGATCAGCAAAGAAAAATTTCATTAAACAGCATGAAATTAAAAGTACAGGAAGATGACATACATTGAGAGAGATTCGGAAGTATAAAAATACCCCTACTACTGCTACTCACATCCATACAACCAACCCCTAAGCCTCTCGAATTTTTTTTTTTTTAAACCAAAAGAGCTAAGAAGAACTTAACTAGAGAATTTAAAATACAAGAATCCCCACATACTCAACCCACCAAAAACACCCAAAACTAACTAAATGAACTAACCCATCCCCACTAAATGAACTAACCCATCACCCATCACGGGGTCTCATTTTGATGATACAAACTATTTATTTTGTCAAAAACTTTATGTATTTCATCCACACAAAAAATCAAGTTGATTCGATAATTGTAACATTGCATTTTTAACCAAAAAAAAAAAATTATGAGAATTTACCCTTTTACCTCGTAAAAAGTATGGAAGAACTCATTTAAATCATAAATATATAAAATTTTGAAGATAATTTGGGAATAAAAAAAAGTGTAACCCAACTTAATTTTTTGGTTCACCTCGACCATAAAGTTCCCTTAGTGAATGGTATAGGTGCATTGTTAGCTAATTATACTGAGGTTATAAGTGGGTTAATGTGCAGGTAGCCATACAATTGGTTTAGCAAGGTGTGCTACCTTCAGCAGTAGATTGTTCAACTTCTCAGGGACAGGCGCACCAGACAGTACAATGGACACGACCATGGTGTCTGATCTACAAGGCCGATGTCCAACCACTGGAGATGGAAACAACACGGCCCCTCTTGATAGAAATTCTATTGATTTATTCGATAACCATTACTTCCAAAACTTGCTTAATGGAAAAGGTCTTCTTCAATCGGATCAAATCCTATATTCTAGTGATGAGGCAGCAACAACTACCAAAAGTTTGGTTGAACTCTACAGCAATAATCTCTCTCTATTCTTAGGCGACTTTGCTAAGTCTATGATTAAGATGGGAAACATAAATCCTTTAACTGGGTCAAGTGGACAGATAAGGAAGGACTGTAGGGCCGTTAATTCATAGATTGCACTAAATTGAAATGGGATTTTATAAAATAAAAAATAAAAAAGGCTTCCTAGTATTAAAGTTGTATGATTATCAAAACCATGTATCAAGTCTGTTTTCTTTAAAGCTTTCTAGATAATGTCAATGGCTGCGTTGTGCAAGAATAATTACAAAATATGATGATTTGGTGTAGAGGCTTCGGCTAAAGTCGTGTTTACCAAGAGTTATGCAAACGTATCCTAGTTTTAAAAAGGCCATTTATGTAACTCAAATCTTCTCCACCGTGATATGAATAGAGAGTCTTATTTTACCGCTAAGCCACCCAAAAAGGATAGTCTCTCTCTCCTTGATACATTTTTTTTTTTTTGAGAACCCGACATATTAAAAGATCATTTAATAGTTTTGGATATGTGGTAGTAGTAGGGGAACACATGACTATTTTTTTTTTTATCAGTGAGAATCGCTCTTTTTTTTTTGAGAACCCGACATATTAAAAGATCATTTAATAGTTTTGGATATGTGGTAGTAGTAGGGGAACACATGACTATTTTTTTTTTTTTTTTATCAGTGAGAATCGCTCTTTATATATATATAGCAGCAAAAAAGGCAATTTATTGATGAATAATGAATAAAACTAGACATCAATAAGGGAGATGGATGCACTAGCATCATAGCAAAATAATATGTTTCCAACTAGGTTGGCACCATAGAACAAGCCCAATTATCTGCAACATCGCATCAAGTTGGTGAGTAACCAACCAAAAACAGAACTAAAACCACATCATACGACAAAAAATTACATACAAAAAAACTCCCCTGCCATCAGAAGAAGCAGCAGCAACAACTATACTCAAATACTCAAATAAACCAATTCCTGCAGCCACCAACAGCACTAACATCTGCAGCATCCCTTATCATGACACTTCAGAAAAACACAAGACAACTCAAGAAGATTAGAACATAGATTCACACTCAACCAGGACAGCCTCCAATTCAATCCAGCAACTTGTTGATATCAGCACCTAATTGAATCATAACAGCCACCACAGATGTCCAGTCACTTAACGCATAACCTGATCTGTTGTAGATTCGATACAAACTGATTAATTGAGTAGTCTCTTCCCACCAAATTTGACTTCATCCACATGGCTACTCTTACCTTAATGAGATCACATAGTTCTTCCAGATTAGGCTGGACCTTATTAAAAATAACTTCATTTCTATGCTTCCACATAGACCAAAACAGTGCTACTGGTATTGTTTTCCATATCTGCAATTCCCCTTTTTAAAACTTCCATCCACTCCACCACTGAAGCAAACATTCCATTGTTCTTGGAACAACCCATTGCACTTCTCACCATTTGATGATACTAGACCAGGTTTTCCAAACAAAAGGGCAATGTAGCATTATATGGCTTAACGATTCCTCCCCTGTTCTACAAAGAACATAACTTGGCTCCATATTTCTTTATTAAAAAAATTAGAAAAGAAATTAAAATAGGTGGCAGTGGAAGCTCTTCACACCAAGTGGCATGATGCATAATGTAGGATTAATTAAATTAATTCTAATAAACTAGGGAATATATATAGAGATATACATATATGAGATCAACTCTCATTGCCTCAACTGATACAAGGCAAGGGGAAAAAAAATAGAAAAGAAAATAAGAAGAAGAAAAAGGAGAAGGAAAGAGGCTAAAATCTATTACCATTTCTTTACCTCATTTCCCCTTTTGAGGTAGAAAACCTTTAAAATCCTTTCATTCTTTTCTTTAATTTCAGAATATATTCAAGTATTAATGAAGTTAAAAATCTTGATATAGTACTTTTTTTTTTATCAGCAAAAAAGAATTTTATTGATGACGAAAGCATACAAATACATATGAGATGAACATCAATAAAAGAGTGGAAGAACAGAAATGCATCATAGCTAACTAACCTAATCCCAACTAGGTTGGCATCGAGTAGAGAGCTTAATCCCAACTAGGTTGACACCGGATTCCAAAACCTTGCCGCGGCATGGAGGAACCGAAAATGCAGTGGGATGCAACTCAAAGTGAATAGTGCATTTATGCCGAAGCCCCGAAAATTCACCTTTTCCGAGCCATCCAAGTTGGCAATCCAATTTGTGAGATTTTGGACAAGAAATGCTTCCATTTGATGCAAAAGTTGGGCTGAAATGGAAAAAACTACGAAGCTGAGGCTTTTGTAGAAGATAAGGTGTTGAGTGGAAGACAGGTGTCAGCATTCTGGAGGTGCTTGCCATTTTTGGCCGATCGGCCAAAAAGAGTGCTGACCGACCATCTTTTTTGGCCGATCGGCTAGTAATGATGGCCGATGGCCATTTCTTGTGGCCGATGGCCTCTTATTTTGGCAGATGGCCTCTCCCTTTGTTCTCTAAACTGTATATGTGTTGAAGGTGTTGAGAACTTGTGACTGCTTCCACTTCCAATGCCTTTCGGTGATGATTTTGCGAAGTCGCGCATGGGTTACTACAATTTGTTTATCGAGTTGCTGTACTTTGCTTATCGAGTTGTATTTTGCATTCTTTAAGTCTTTGTTTTGCTTATCGAGTTGTATTTACATTTGGTTAGATTGTCAAGTTCTTTGTTTTGCTTATCGAGTTGTTTTGTCGTTAGTTCGTTCACTATCTGATTAATGCAATTCGAGCGTTTAGTTTTCAAAACAAAGTTCAATCTCATTTACATTGTTATGTAATGTGATGCGATGCGATGCGACGCATAGAATGTACAAATGCAACACTTTTTCAACAAAAACAGCTGTTTCTTTTCATCATATTATCTTTTGCAAAAGTACATAGTTTTAAAGAAAATAAAACCTGCCTGACGCAATACAATGTGCTTAAACTACCAGTAAAAAGAAAAATAAAGCAAAAAAGAAGAAAAGTAGCAAAGTGTCTGGATCAATGTCGGTCGCCTCAACTGCGGGAGTCCATCCTAGTCCTCTTCCTGGACAAAGGTCCAAGATCATTGCCACCAGCTCCGCTGTCTGAGTCATCTCCGGCCTTATCCTGAGACGACTCCGCCTTTGCATCGGACTCGTCATCATCAAGGGAAGGCTCCCATGAACTACACTCAGCATGAGCTCGCTAGTGTTTGCCTCGGTTGTGGATCGTCATCCCCCGCCTGGCTCCTCCAGTTGCTCTGGCAGGCGCTGAAGGTCCTGCTGGAACACCCCCTGCAGCCGGTATCTGGAATGGGGCCTGAAAAGGACAATTGGCAAACGCATCAGTTGTGCTGTGCAAAGTCGAGTGTCAACACCGAATACAGTGTATGAATGCCGTGGGCAATCCTGTGAGTAGTGTATGAATGCTATGAGTACAGTGTATTAGTGCTGTGAGCAGTATGGGAGTTACAGTGTATCAGTGCCGTGAGTGGTATGTTAGTGTAGTGTATCAAATACCGTGTTGACAATGCGATGTATCAGATCTGTATGGAACATATTATGCAGAGTCTTGAGACCGAGATTGAAAGAACTCACCGGGACGCCGTAGATGGTCAACAGGTCTATGCTCCTCTGAAGCATCCCCATCACTGAGGCCGTCAGCTCCAGAGACTGACTAGTGTACTCAATGGAAGCCTGCAAAAGTGTTGAAATCATTAGTATTCTGCGGGATATCAAATGAAATAAAATGACTGTACAGAATGAAAAGTATGGCACATATCGGGGCCGAACCGCGAACTCTGACAAGCTCATGATCAGTCGGAGGAGGAGCGATGGGTATCTGATAAGTCTCCCCACCCTATCCTCGGCATGTCATGGTAGTGGGCAGGGCTGGCCACTCTACTCCCTGTCCCCTCCGGGACCCACTCCTGCCATGGGCCTGAGTCACCCTCGGTGCTCCGGCTCCTCTCACAGGCGTTGCAGGCCTCTCCCTCTCACCTCGGCGAGCACCGGTCAGAGGCCGCATGAGATAAGCCTAGATGAACTCAGTGTAGTCCCCCTCGTCTCTGAAGAGGTCAAAATCCCAGCCTATCGTGAAATCCATCATCTCCTCCAGGGTGCACCTCTCGGTAGCCCTCGTATGGGTAGGAGGTGGCCTCGGGACTATTTTCTTGGGCAAGCCCAAAGTTTGCCGCAAGAAGCGCTCTCCAAAATACCATGTCCGACAGACCGGACCCTCCAGCAGAATCCTGAACTGGGTAGTCTCCCGAGCACCCGCATACTGCTCTCTCACTGCCTTTGGCCACACGACCTAGGGCTGCCAGGTGATCTACAAATGACAGGATATACAGTTTGTTATCTGTTATTGAAAGTGCAATGTAAAGCGAAGCTTAAATAAACTGTAATGTTTGAAATACCTCTGCGGCGGTAATGGTGCCGAAGTATCGGCGGAAGAACGGGAAAGACTCCCGCGACCTCTGCTCACACCTCACATCATATCTATGAGAGTATGGAACTGTGGGGGGCATCTCTACATCTGGCACTAGAGCAAGCCTCGGAAAGTAGGCATACACCCACAACTACAGAGTGAAACAGGGTAAGAATAAGTATACTTATCAGTAAGGCAGTATGCAGATAAAGCAGAAATCAGAATCATGTGCAGTGTGTTCAGTGTATTATGCAGCATGTGAAGTGTATTGTTCAGTGTGTGCAGTGTACAGCCAGTGTAAGGTAGATTGTGTGTATGCAGTGTGTGTGGTGTACAAATAATGTAAAGCAGAATTGAAAAACAAAAAGGGAAGGTGTACCTCCCAGGCTCGCCAGTAGCCTCCAAGCAGATGTCTGCTGTGGCGAGAGGATGAGCTCATGTATCCATAAAGTGTGGCCAAGCCTGCGCCACCCCAGTCGTAGCGGCGGATCCGCGTCACGTCCACTAATGCGCTCCGTAGATAAAGGGCGACAGTGTTCGCCCGGTCGGCGAAGAGGGTGGTCCCCAGCAAGAACATGATGAATCCGCGAGCGTACTGCTCCACCTCCTCTCAGGTCGTAGACGCTTGTATCCAGAAGTGGTCCTCGAACCAAGAATACCTCACGAACCCTGGCCAGGAGAGAGGTGGCCAAGCGCCGAGCAAGAACATCTGGGTAGCGTCCCACTCATCCATGCCAGTGTCAAAGGGAATCGGATCACCCCCTACTCCGTTGCCTGGGAGCATTGAGAAGTCGAAGGGAGTCATCGTTATCTCCCCTGTAGCAGAAAGGTGGAAGGAATTTGTGGTGTCCCACCACCTCTCCACCAGAGCACCAAGAAGGGACATACTCACAGTGAGGCACGAGAGTCCCATGCAGAAGACGCCGAAGTTGGATTGATCAATGATGTGGTAAACCGCAACGGGCAGCTCCATGTACCAACCTT